ACAGCAAGTATCATGCCTTGTCCGAACGGCGCTTTGGCTTGAATGGTTTCAATCATCTTCATGCTCGACATGGACGCCTTGGACTGCGTCTTGGACTCGACCCGGGACTCGGGCTTGGACTCGGGCTTGGACTCGGGAACCACGTCAGTGGGTGTGACCACCCCGCTGTCTTTCTTGGTGTCGCTCATGCGAGGCAAATGGCTGACTGATATTTAGGTTTGGACGCATTTTGTTGTCAGCGCTCAACATGGCGGACTCGGTTGAGCCAATGAACGCACACTGTTTGGGATCCTTTTTGTATTGCCGATTTTGTGCTGCTGGGAATAGAAGTGACGTGGAAACGACCGGGAAAAAGTTGTCGAAGGCGTTTGAATGGCCATAACTGACGCGGCTGGAGGCCAAAATCCTTTGTCTCCTCCGATACGTACCAACTTAGCGAGAGGCTCCTTTTGTCGAGGGATACCAATTTAAAGAAAGATACCTGACTCTCTCATGCGGAACCCAAAGGGGTAGTTTTGTGCGGCACTCATGGAGCTGTGTTTATGCCGAGGCCAAACAAGTGCGCCATCTGAGCCGCTTCGCCGGACCGCCATTTTACCCAATATGGCGGCGCAGGCAGCTCGCCTATTTCTACAAGGCGTAATCACTATATACGCCAGCAAGCTCATTTGCAATTTGTGCGTTGAGCCCCGAGCCTTTTAGCTACTCTACGCTTTTAACCCTCCACCAGTCCCTTCTGGGGCGGCACCCTCCCCACATGAACCTTCAGCACTTGCGTTTTCGCCGCAGGGACGAACACCGATGCCGAAGTAGCTCCTTGGAGCGCGGACCTAGCGGCTTGGTTCAAATGATTTGCTGCGTTGGACGTGAAGTGCACGAGCTCTTGGCGCTGGATCTTGGATCCTGGTTGTTGCGGTCTGGAAGAAAGGGACGTCCGTTGATTCGTAGTTTTGCTCCAACGGACAGCTCGGTGCACCTGATCGAGATAATGTCAACGAGGTGGTAGGACCACCCCAGCGTTCGGCGAGCCACAATAGGTTCTCCTTAGCTTGGCCCTGTGCGCCCAAGTATCACCGGGCCGGCCAGATGTCTGGGATATCCGCACGCTACTTCTCAGTCTCCTTGTCGTCGTCAGTAACAATCTCGACTCCTACATCACGTCTGTACTTCGATCCTGCTGACGTTTGTGTCGCCGCATTCTCACACTTGTGTTGACGTTGCGTTGGGGGATTGGGCGGTTCAGTGCCACAGGGCGTAATTCCCATCGACGAGTTTATGCTGTATTTTGGTACTTCTGTGCGATCGCAGTGGTGAGAATACACCGCTCGTTTGGGTTCACGTTGCAGGCCTCAGTGTCGGCGTCAGCTGCGATGCGAAGATTCGAATGTAGTGCAGTGCGCTGAATGCTGAGCCGTCAAGTCACGGGTTGCGGCAAAGGAGATGATAATCTCTCGTTCATCAATAATGAAAGCCCGCACGCCAATGCGTCATGGAGCTGTCGTCAATGCCAACGTCTGTGAGCCATTTGTAGCTGGAGCGGTGGGTGATGCGCCCCGTCTCTTTGTCAAAGTGGAAAACGAGGAAGGTGCCGACTTCTTTGCTGAAAAGAGGCTTGACGGGCCGCGGCAGGTACCGGTAGATAATTTCGTACTGCACGTTGTTGAGTCGCGTCATGCACGTTGCCGAGATGCGCAGCACATTCTTCATGATCAAGAGACCGTCGTCGACGAGGACGTCGTCGTTGTGCGGGATGCAGCAGCCGCGAAGCGACGTCGCGAGCATCCGAAGATGCGGTATGTTGAGGTACTGTAGCAGCGAGTGCGACTTTGAGACTCGAATGTCATCCGGCAAGAAGCGTCCGTGGAGCCAAATGGCTAAGATACCGACACCGACAACGACGCCCGAGAGAATGGCCGATAGGTAGTACGTGCGGCCGGTCGCACTGTAGGTGAAGCAGCTCGTCGACGTGGGCAGTGCGCACGAAGTCGGCAGGTTCTTACTCTGGTACGGAAACACAAACGCTTCGAGCGAAAAGACCAGAATCCAGTTGATGACACTGAACACAAGTAGCAGCCGTGTCTGCGTCACCACGCGAGGCATGAACCAGATCTGAATCAGCGTCCCAGTCATGATGCCGACGATCGACGCGACTTGGACGGGCCCGAGCAGCGCG